CTATTGCCCCCCTCCCCACCTGTTGCACCCCCCTCCCCCTCCTAACCTGTAGAATCTGTATAGAACTGTCCTGGCCATGCAGGAAGACATCCATGTTAGAACGACGCATCAAGGCCGACTTGGCAAACTCGATAAACAGCCCGTAGGTGGCGACGGCGTTCAGCGTGTCGGCCATGATGTTGGAGTATGCTGCAGACAGGCCATTCTGGGCTAACGTGTAGTAATTAGCTGCCGAGACATCCTTTAGAACCTCTTGGATCACAACACTAGGGGAAAGTACATGATTGTGTATCAGGAAAAACACAAGGCAGTTCAGTAAAGATTAATACACATCAAGGAACCAGTATCAACATCTTTATATCTACCAAGAAGCAAGCATAAATTCAACAAAAATGACGCATAAAACTACAGACATTCATGTAGTGATAAATTTCAGACAAACATTTTACCAGAGTTCACAAAACTTCAACAATATACATGTATGATTATGTACATTGTAGATAGTGAGAGGTATGTGGTTGCATGATGAGCTTATTCTTGATCAATTTTTACAAGTCAGACAGAAAATGTTATCAATTTAATAATTGCCTGTATTGTAACATAAATAGACAAACAAACCAATAAAAAAATTTCAAAATAACAATATGTTATTTTACAACAAATGCAAAAAGAAAAAGAGGGGTTCACCTGGATGGATGGTTGGTGTCCAGCAGGTCCTGTATTCTGGCCCGGATGAAAGTGGACACTTCCCTGGGCTCCTGGGTGGACAGGGACAGCAGGACATTCCGTACGTCCCAGGGGGAGGGGTTGACCATCAGGAGTAGGCTGGCCGCGGCCGTGCGGACTGTGTTCTCGTAAGTCTTCCTGTTCTGGTGGAAGATTCGGCTCAAGGACTTCCTCACCTAAACAGGGAAAAATCAGGGGTAAAAATTATTAACATGAATTGTCCTCGTTCCACCAACAAGGCCTTTGGCCTGTAAGAAGAAATAGATATACATGTATGAAGGTCCTACAGCATTGATATGTCAAGGAAGGTTAGACATTCAGGTAATCTAGGTATAAAAAAAAACAGGCAACAGGACACGATTTTGGAAATGGTCAGACGTTTCAGGTAGCAATCACTACCTTTCGTCAGTGGCACTGGTGGGATCTCAAGATCAACAGGTTTATAATCATTAACTTATTTTATTAATTGATGTATAAATTGAGTGAAGACAAATTTTTGAGGTGAAAGAAGAATCTCACCCCGTTACTGTCCAGCAGTGCTGAGTCAAACCTGCCGAGGGCCTTCAGTGCTGCCATGGACACAGCGTTGGACTGTGCCCCCTCCGCATGTGTTAGCAGGACAGGGATGGTGTCGGGGAGGCGAGCGTTACCCAGAGCACGGAGAAACATCAGCTGGCCGTCCTCGTATTCCGCAGACTCCAGTCCCTCCAAGAATGCCGTCTTCACCTGTTCTACAATCTGAGGAACAAAGAGGTTTTTTTGTAACACATCGTAAAAACTTGCTCAAGCGAAATATGCCAGCCATGTGGCCACAACGACACTGTATTTTCTCAGTCTTCATTTTTCCATATAGATGTAAGCCAACCACTTGACCACGACCAGCACTATGTGGGCCCGCACAGGCCCAATTTCTGCCTATGATCACCACGTTATTTTCAAGAGCTGTCACAGAAAATGTTTTTTGATGATAACTCGCAAAGAAAAGTTGATGGAATCGGCCAGTTTGTCATTGATTTTGACAATAGACAGTCTTTGCACAATTTTTTCTGTTTTGTCTTGTTCTGGCACTACAACATGTAGCCTCTACATACATTTAGTTCACCTAGCAGAAGAAGGATTGACGAGATCACATTGCATGATATGAATGGAACAAATTTAGTATTAAACACCATCCAGACAAGTAAATTATTTTCCCTCCTTACCGGCTGTTCACATTGCAGTGGGTCCAGACAGTATGTGTGCACCAGAGCTCCTAGAGTCAGAGCCATAGCTTCATAGATCTTCTCACTACCAATCTCCCCTGCAAGTTTCTCCTGAAAAAGGTGAATCAGAAGTAGTCTCTTGTTTAATACCAGATACATTGTTAATGCCTCACTGGTGAGTCTATTGAAGAAGACCAAAGCGATATGGTTGAAAGCTCTACATGTATAGGTAAAAAGCTTGTGTTGGTACAAAATGTACATGCACAAAAAATTTAACTTTAAACATCTCTCACCAGTAGCATTGACAGTGTTTTGTCTGTCGGGTGGGTGGCGAACCCCAGGATGAAGAGAAAGCGGTCAGGCAGGTCAGTGTCCTCCTCCACACTGAAGTCCAGGAACTCCAGAAGAGCCTCCATAGCCGAGTCTGTCTGTGTGGCCGTGGCAATGTCAATCAGCTGGGGCCTGGAAGAGAGTTGACATGGTGGTCTTATGGTTAGGGTTGTTGACTTAGTATCTGAAGGTTCTGGGTTCAAATCCCTGGCTAGCACCGGTACCATAATTCACTGCAGCAAAGCATTAGCAAAAGTTCACGGTCTGAGAAAAAAGGAGGTGTTCACGGAACTATATGTTTACGGTGGAGGCAATTGTGTGTAGAAGAAAGAAAGTTGGCAAAATTATTTGTTGGTGGTAATGATATTAAGTTCTGAACAGAAGCAACTGCAAAAACTGCAAACATAAAAAGTACCATGAAAAAAATCAGGGATTGCAGTATTGGGCTCATAAGTAGCTAGCTAATCAGATATGGACATCCTCTTGACTGGGACATAAAGTTGGAGGTCCTCTGTCATTGTTTTTATCGACATACACTGTGTACAATTCAGTTTGTATCTGTTACTACATGCAATATGTTTGCTTTTGATGCAGTCTTGATTGAGACCTACAGAACTTACACAATGTCTCCATTTTCCTCATCTGTCAGAACATTCAAGATGGTTTCCTTCCCAGCATGCCTCAGTCTTTTCAACACCTCCAGGAAAGCATTGGATGACCTGAGGTGGGCCAGCGCTTCTGTGCTCAGGTCGTCACGGTAACGGGCAACAACCTCTGCTGGCTGAAAATGTAGTGTTATGTTCATGTTTACTGACAAGTATCTGACAAGTATTTCTCACCAGATGAAAAACATTATTCCTTTATTGAATAAAGTGACTCTCAATTACTCAGTCAACATTTTGGTGCTACATGTATAACAAAATATGACCATCTGTCATCACCTACCTTAGGGCATATCTGACTGGTTCACATTGTACAGCACCGTGTCGCTGTAATAGATGCATTTCCAAACACAAATTTGCCCTGATGAAGATGACAGACAGTCACCAAAACATTGGCTGAATAAACCTCTTGGTAGAGTCTCTATATTCAGTGTCTTAAACTGATGAAACTATTCACGGATGATTCCTTTTTCTAATTTGAATATACCTGGTCCCATGCCTTTACTTCTGTCATAATGTATTTATTTCAATGAAAGACATCAGTAGAGCTTCACAATTAGTGGAAAAGAAATCCAGTTGGATGTAACTGTTCTGTGAAAAATAATTCAATACGGACTTACCGACTCACAGTCCTCTGTACATTGCTGTATAATTTCCTCGGTTGTCAGGGAAACCTTCAGAAACTTCTCTCCTGCTGCTGCTGCTGTCACTGCTTCCTCCACACCTGCTCCCTGTACAGTAGCACCCCCTGCCTCTTGCTTCTCTAACTGCAGCTGTTGCCTATTCATAGAGGAGCCACAAAAGATGATACCACATGAACAGACAAATGAAGTCACAGGAACAAGTTTGAAGTACAAATGTATTCAATCAAACTGTAGCTTGCCCTCAAATCTCTTCAACTCCATTATCTCTCCAACATCGTATTTTGCCATAAAGTAAGTTGGTATGTTATTTTTTAAATAGAGTGACTGACCCAGAAAAGATTATTGTTGCAAGTTCCTTTCTGAGATTCACCCTGGTCACATGATTCTCCTCGCTGACAGCTGATTGGATGATGGGTTGGTCACCTGACAGCTCGTACACAACACTTGATGCTGAGTTCACATCAACTCCGACCACCTGAGTTTCACACAGTTCAAAATGACACACTAGTTACAACTCATACCTTCACAACATCCATGCAATTTTCATGCCATAACTAGAAATTTCTTTCAAATTGACAAATAAACAATGGCAGGCCTTCTTCTTGGATTTCTCTTGATTATGTTTCTTTCTGGACATATATTTTCACTACAGTAAGTAGCTAAAGTTTATACATTCTTGCTGATTATAAGAATCATACAAAGAGCTGCTTGGTGGATGGTTGCAGCTCTCAGAGCACTTATTCCAGTTCCTCGTGCTATTTTTCTGTTTATATCTACACTCCTTACCTTGTTATAGTTGGTAAACCCTGCTGACAGTAGGCAGTCTCTAGTCTTCAGGACTTTAGACTTGCTGACATCATACAGGGCTATGCACTGTCCTGATACGTCAGTCTGTACAACAACATCAAGACAAGTCAATATTGGTGCATAATATACAAGCAGAGAGTATGCAATGCATTGGATCCATATGTGCTGACATACATCATTCTACAATGTATTTACATGTAACGTTATGTATAAAAATTGTTTGCCTGTGTACAAATATTCCATCCAATTTTACTGAAGAAAACAATGCTTCTGGAAATGCGTTAAATGACGTTTCAGACTTCAGAGGGTTTGACATTCAAATTTTATAGCTTTGATCGATGTACTGCGATTGATTAATAAAAAAAGGCTAGGATCTGTTGGGAAACACAACATTTTTTTACTACAGGTAAAACAACTTGATCGTACCAAAGGGCATTGTCCATTCTTACCTCCTGTCTCTCCCCAGCAGCTGTCTGCACCTGGAACAGGCTGACTACACCCTTCTTCAGGTTAATAGCTTGAGTGGTGTCCTTTTCTGCTGCATACACAGCCTCAACCTGCAGAAGTACACATCAATTATCAAATGTAGGTGCACTATTAAAAGTTTTGTGTGCACTTGAATCTACATTAATAACTTGATAGTTATCTCATTTCCACCTCAGAGTGAGGTGAGGAAAGTCGTGAAAAGTTCCTTTACCAAGGGCACAATGCTGGGGTATGTCAAGGGATCGAACCTGGGACCACTTGGTTCTGAGCCAAACATTCTGACCATTATGCCATGATGTGACGTGATGCCACTCTTGTATTACCTGGCCAGCCCTCCAGTGGAACAGGACAGAATGGGTCTGTAGATCAGCTGTGGAAACCTTCTGGAACACGGCGGCTTTCCTCTCCCCTATATGGGACAACTGCACATCCTTCAGCTGTAGGGACGTATAAAGACACAGTTAGCAGGAAAGTTAGGCTATCATGGACATCTGTCTGTGTTGGTAGTATAATCATAGTCTATGATTACTACCGACACAGATTCATAGTACAATGCTGAACTTTATTCCAACACAAATTCCAGCTTTACCTGTACTCTAACCAGCTGGTCCTCTCCACTCTTCCACACCACAGTAACATCCACCCCAGCTGACAACTGGAAGCCGACATCAGGCTTGTCTGTGTCTGGTTCATTCAGCCGGAGTCTGGTCTGGTAGTTGTAATGGTAGGTGTGGCCAAGCTCATAACCAGGGAGACCGGCTTCCCCTGTTTCAAACAACCAGGTGGGACAGTTAGTAATACCACAACAATTTTAATCAATTGGTTTGCAGATTTGCAAGATTCATTTTTTTTCTGATTTGCAAAACAAAGAAAGATGTTCAGGTTCTAAATCAACTCAAGGGTGGGTGTAACAGGTCATTCGGTGAACAAGTCATTCTGACATCATTAATATCTATAGGATGTTCCCTAGCACTATATCCTGCTATTTGTATCAGAGGCTGTGATAAAATCTGGTAAGAATATGTATAACAGATATACATGTAAACAGGATTCTATGTCACACCACTTACGTGTTCAAGAAAATGCACTGCTGAAGCTAGCCAGAAAATGACCAAGAGATTAGTGTACTTAAGTTATGCTAAAAATTAAAGGCTGGCTGCATCTGGGCTAATGTCTGAATCTTTATGCTAGCATTCGTTACTCTTATCTCCAAGCAGATTTCCTTTTTGCATTTATTCATTTTTCCCCACAGTCTGTGCCACTGGTACAATTCTGCTTTGAGATTAGCATGATTACAATTCCCTGTGTACTTGGAAAATATTACTACAGAGATTGCTTTAAGGAAACATGCTACCCTATATCTGCATGATTATTAAGGTGTAACAAAAGGAACAAACTTTAAAACTAGAAAGGCCGACATTTGCTTGGGAGCAAATACAGCATATTTCAGTCCATCTCCCTCCCACGCAATAGTGGACTATTCCAAAACTTACCCCAGTGCAAAACTGGCAAAGGTTCTCAAATAAATGAATTAAATAGTAGCTACATGTATATGAGAACAAAGATGCAACAACAAGTACTTTGAATCTCGAAAGCTTTACTAATCTTATTACAGGTATGCAAAAACTAACAATCAAGAGATTTGATACATTTTGAAGGTCTTAGGCACATAAAATTGAATGTGTGTGTCATTACGCACCACTTAGGTGCAATGTGACCTCAGGTAACCCGCACGTGTTCCATGGATGGAACCGGCCATTCTTTAGATAGAACATGGAACGGGTACAGCACTTTTGGCCCTTTTTTTGCTGAAAATAGCCATTAAAGTCCCCCAAATGAGTCATTTGGAAGTGGTGTATGCCAAATATGTGACTGCTATTCTGTAGACACATGTTCAAGGTACCCTTATACCGAATTTCAAATCATTTGGTTGTAAAACCAGGGCTCAGGATCCAAAAATCCATTTTTTGGCAAAAAATGCCCCAAAAAACCTTCATAAAAATTTTTCAAAGGCATGTATCAAAAAAATGAAAAAAACGCCTGGGGGTATTGGCTCACTCTACGTCCATGCCAAATTTCAAGTCATTTGGCTGAATGATGGTGGAGTTGAATCCCTTTGACTGTTTGGCAGGAGGAGAAGAAGAAACATGAGAGAACACAATATATTTCATCCATACCATGGTATGGACTGAAATATAACAATTTAGTTTAACAGTTTCAGGTGATCATAATACAATTCCTTAGATTTGTCGACCTATATTTTGTGCACAGCAGTCAACTCATGATCAAAAACTATACTGCAACTACACAGTGGTGAAATGTAGCATATAGCCTGATGATGTTGCCATTGAGAATGTGTTACTAGTATTCTGTAGCATGTGTTACTAGGATCCTAACCTCGCTGTCCATACATGTATTGTAAATAAAGTATGCGTGGAATGTGTCCACGTGGTCTGGACTCTGGTCACTACCTGGACATCTGTGATTGGACGATGCTGTGATATCAGAATTGGAGAATAAACCATTCATACAGACTGATACAGTCAATATCATTGAGCCATTTTTAAAGTAGGGTAAGTTGGAAGGTTTAGCATAACTAGTACCATTGATAGACTTCATTACTTCTTTTTGGGATGGGATCCTAAATCATCGCAGCATAATTCATTTTTTTTCTTATTAAAAGTAGTATGTTAACCATCAGAATGCCAGGATCCCCATCTTTGGTCAATGCTCAAATTATTAATCTCTTTTGAATTTCAGAAAGTATGAATGATGCATTTGAGTCAAATACATTATTCATACATTACTTTCACAACAGAGAAATAACCTGGAATATGTATGTCTTGGTCTTTATGCCCAGCATTATAAAGCATATGGGGCTACATTGAAAGCAAGTAATTTGACACCTGTACTAGTAGTGAGTCAAGGACAAAAAAATCAAAATAGTACACCAATATATAAAGTCACAAAACAACAAGCCTCAAACATATAAAATACAATGTACGTGTTAATTGAAAATCACAATGATATACAGCAAATTGTTTGGAGTCCTTGGAGATCGCTGAAAAACAAAATCATGTTTGTAATGAAAAGACAAAACAATTTAGAGATGTGAAAACAACTCACCCAGCACTAAATAGCACAGCAGCAAGAGAAATCTCGACCACATGTTGTTATAAGGCTGTTCTTTTGATCTGTGTGGAAGATGAGAAGGGGTAAAGGTAGGTGGTTCTGTTCCCGTTCGACAGTCCGATCAAAGATTGAAGTCCAAAGGTCGGTACACGTTGGAAATGGTGACTCAACCCTGTTGTGAGGACGTGTTTACTCAAATCATGATGCAACCCAAAGTACAAGGATCTATAAACAAGGCCAGTGGTAGTATAAAGCACACTATTGAAGGGTTAAAAAATATCAAAGAAGTACAAAATGGGTAAAAAGGAAGAAAGTAACCAACCAAAGCCAACAGAAAGAAGCAAGGACCAAATGAACGACTGAGATTCAGCAAAATAACAAGATACAATCAGCTGACTCGTAGAAAACAGCTGGTAACCACGTGACCTTTACTCAAGACCACAAAGGTGGAAGACCAAAACATATTCTGTATATTTACTTGTAGAATCACAAATGAATTGAAAGAATGTTGGATAAATCGGTTATTTGATAATAGAAAAAGTATTAAAATTTGTGGTTTTTGATTTAGTGAATTTCTGTATTTGTTTTTAGTGATGCTGATAAACTCATTCCTACCGTTTTTTTAGAGGTAGGTGGTCTTGTTTCAAGATGGCGGCGCCCATAGAGAGATTCATCGGCGTACGGCGTTAGTACGGATTTTAGTAATTTCTTCGCGATTATCTTGTATTGTGCAATGTGCGTGACATCGCCAACATTGTGTTGATTACTGTAAAGTTACCAGTCCTGTTGTACGTTCTAGGATGGTCGCGTTTGGTTCATAAATTTTACATCGGTGACTGATGCCCCCCTCCCCACGCCTTACCAAAAACAATCCCAAGATATTATTGACTGGTTGGACAAATTAACCTCGTGAGAAATTCTTTAAAAAAACCTTTGAGTGAGGGTCGAAGCGTCGGGGCGGAACTGTCCAAGGGCCGAAGTTGCCAGATACCCTTTTATGGCACCTTTATTTGCATATTTGTTTTGTAAAGAGAAATACTAGTAATGACAGCAGTAGCTGAAGAAACGATGAGTTTGACAACTGACCAGGACCAAACGTTGGAAAATACAGACACAAATCCTGAAGCAGACAAACTGAACATAAATGCACCAGGAAGGCCCAATGACAAGAAATGCAATGATGTAGATAAAGACTTGGACTGCAATAACATCATCAGTGATGTCAGCATGATTGACAAGTGCTCATCAGGACAGGGAGAAGGGGGAGGAGCCAAGGATGTGGACAACTCATTAGAACATGTTGAAGGGGGAGGAGCCAAGGATGTGGACAACTCATTAGAACATGTTGAAGGGGGAGGAGCCAAGGATTTGGACCCAGAACAAGCCTATGCAGAGGGGAAAATCTCCAAGAAACAGCTCAAGAGACTGAGGAGAGAAGAGGCATGGAGGAAGAAAAAGGAATTCCTAAAGTTAGTCCCTTACAATAATGCCTCAAATCAAAATACATTTCTGTTTCCTGTGAGGTTCATGATACTTAAAGTATAATTAGTAACGTTAGCTGTTATCATATGGAAGGAGGAGTTTGCATATGTTAGTGTGATAGTAGGCACTATGAAATTAGCCAATCAGTGAGGAACAGCAGTAGAATCTGCAATCTACAGGGAGCAATAACTACAACTTAAAGTACGAGTGACACATACCTGGAATCCGAGGTCTTGCTCTGACTTACAGGGCAATCGTATCTTCCAAGCTCAACTCTGCTAACAATAGTTCCTCACTGATTGGCTACTGTCACTAGCCAATCAGGACCAACCTATCACTAAGAAATGTAAACCCCTCCTTCCATGTGGTACAGCTACTAATTATGCATACAAAGGTCCTGACCATTACCGTGTTGTACATGCATGGTACTCATTTTCTGCAGAACAAAGCGGAAAGAGCAGCGTCGTCTGGAGGCACAGAAGCGGAGAGAGAAGGGAGAGCCCAACAAGAAACGTCTCCGCCTGGAGTTTGAGAAACGCCTGGAGACCAGTGATGTCACCATCGCTGTGGACCTCAGCTTTGACGACCTGATGATGGAACAGGTGGGGGAGTTGTTAAAGACTTTATTTTAAGACTTAACACTTTTGTTTTTGTTTTGAGGCTTGTACTGTAATTCACTTCAGCAGATCTAGCCCTCTGCTTTAAGCCAAGTGCTTCTTATTCTGCACTCCAGGACATCAAGAAGCTGATGAAGCAGATAGAGCGGTGCTACGCGGTGAACAAACGAGCACCGGTGCCTGTCCAGATGCACCTGTCCAGTGTGGGGGGGAGGTGTAGACACAGGATGGAGACAGCCATCGCAGGCTGGAAGGGGTGGAAGGTAACATTACATGGTCTTTTCACCTATGCCTTGACAGGGTTCCAAACATTTTTATTCCCAGGTTGCCCAATGATGTACAAAATGATTATCATATAATCGTAGTACTAGTAAACTGGTGGATGTACCAACTACTAAGTATCTAATACAAGCTCAAAAGAGAACAAGAAATAGTCATGCTTTCAAGTACCAGAGTGATCAATCAAGTATTGAGGTGTTTAAAAACTCATTTTTCCCTAGAACTATCACAAGTAGTGCAGTGTAATACAGCCAGCTGCTGCGCCGTGTGCAGCACATCCTAGAGGAAAGTGTGAGAACTGCAACACTACAGATTCCATGCTGCCTATTACAGGTGGGGATGCAAAAAGAGCTGTACACAGAAGTGTTTGAGAGAGAAAGAATCGTCTACCTCACCTCAGACTCACCCAACACCCTCAGCACCCTGGAGGCAGGGAAGGTCTACATCATCGGGGGGTTAGTGGACCACAACTCACATAAGGTTTGTTTAGCACAGGCATTGTGCTGATTACTTGATCATCCCTTGTGTTGAATGAGTATCATGTTATAACATTACTGTGATGTGTGTGATATATTTTGCTGTTATAACTAGCTGCAGGTCCAAGGGAAAAATTGGTGTCCCTAGCAGGCTTTACACTAATATGCCAAAAAACAGTTACTCAAGCAACTGGATATGATTTTGAAAAACAGTTGCTTGAGTAACTGTTTTTTGGCATATCTTATTACCTGGATGTCTAACCTTCATCGACGTAGCTTTACACTAATATTACAGTAGTTGCAGTTATTTGTTTTGTTTTGTTTATTTGTTTGGTTTCTTTGTTTATTTGTTTGGTTTGTTTGTTTGTTTGGTTGCTTGTTTGCTATACAGAATATCTGGTTGACTTATGGATGAATTGTGATATGTACATTTGTACATTTACATTGTACACTGGTAGGCACAGGATTAGATTCACCTCAAATATCATCCCACTTCTGAAGACTTATGTTTCTAACCTCAGTTTTTGTTATGTTCAGGGCCTTTGCTACCAAAGGGCCTGTGAGGCGGGTGTTTCCCATGCACAGCTTCCCATTGCACAGTTTGTCAAGATACAGTCACGAAAAGTACTGGCTGTCAACCATGGTGAGTGTAGTTCCTTGTCTTGCTGTTAGGAGGCACTGTTGCTTCAGTCAGTTCAGTCTAATGTAAAGGTTTGACACCTGTTTATGTAGAGTTGACTACATCCCAAGTGCAAATATTGGATGACAAAAATCTTGTGTGATGCCACTCACTAGCTGCTAGTAATGTACATATCTTTGTGTTTATACTTTTGATCCCATAATGCATATGGTGAACAGGTATCCCACAATGCTCTTTTGTTCCCATGATCCTCCCCCAGTGTTTGAGATCATGCTGGCGTATTTGGAGCTGCAGGATTGGCAGGAGGCCTTCCTCCGGGTCATACCACCGCGTAAGGGGGTGGAGGCCATCACCGCAGACCAGCCTGAAGATAACATTACAGAAACAGAAGGTGCAGAAGGTCAACAAACCCCAAACAAAAATGGCCCAGCCATTGCAGAGGGTAACTCAGAAGTATTAGATAAAGACTCATAGAAAACTTGATTTTACAGGAGATACATGTATGATTACATCTAACAAGAAAGTGGAGAAAGTGACCAAATCTCAGTTCAAAGTGACCCAGCTTTTGGAGAGGGCACTGTGATTCAACAAGTATTAGTATTACTATAGAGACCCATAAGAAGGAACTAGTAGCTCGGAGGACCTGTAGTATAACTGTACCTTCATATTGGTATCTATGTGCAAATATTTTGTATCAATAGAACTTCAAATCCTTTTTTGGACTGGAAAAAGGGGGTACTAATGATAGTACAACAAAATTACTCGAAATGGTAATACAGTGTACTTTCAGGGTAGTAATTGTGGATACACCAAGGCAACTTACAAAGTGACAGACGCACTTTGGAGCTCAACATACATAATACATTATAAAATTATATACTAGTACATTTATGCTTTGTGGTGAGTAAAAATTACTTTAGGTGAACAGACACATACATTGTATATTATGTGACAGCAATGGTACAAAGAAAAATGAAAAAAAGAGGGCAATTATTGCTTGAGTTTTTATTGAGTTCAGTCAGTCTGTATCACAACAGATGTGCCAAATGAAACTCACTGGAAAACAAGTGAAAATACATGTATTACCCAAGGCTACATAATATGCAGACTACTAGGATATATTCAAGTCAAATAAAACCTTATGTATATGAAATTTATACATCCCATGTAAGTATGATACACATTGATCCTTTTTAACATTAAAAGGTGATGGTAACAAAACAATGTCCCTCAACCAGCAAAACAATAGGTTACTAAATATACAGGTTAGATGTTTATTATCAAGTGTAATTCTTTACTTATAGAGAAATACATGCATCTATATGACATAGTGATCATATAGGTTGTATGAGGTCCCCACAGACCATAATGGTATGGTAAGAATCTGAATGTAAGATGGACCTACTGCACATTTACATGAGGAAAATGGGCTCTTTAAAATCCATGCAGCACTTATTTAAGACTTGTTCAATTAACTTTCAGCTAACTTTCTCTGGCTCTTTTTTTTAAAGATATCACAACGATTTTTGGAAATTGATATTGAATTCTCCTAAATCTAACTCCACGCACTTCCACATTTTTCATTTCTTGATATGAATTATGACATCATAAAATGACATACTTTGTTGTAGAGAAAAGATTTTCTTATCAGGAGTATCAAAAACTTTCAGAGAAACATTTCAAACTAACTGGAATTACAGAATAGGTAGCATATGTACAAAACACTGTGAATTACCTGTACATACTTTATACAGGATTTCTCCAGATTTTTAGACCATCACCACTTTCAAAGCTATTCTGAACTCTGTTCTTATAAATCCTTAAGATTTGTATAACCACGTATTCAACTCTAAAATTCATGTGTAACACTTTACCCTAAAAGATAATCTATAATACAGTAACACTTTAATAACTTCAGCAGCATTAGCAGAATAAACGTAAAACTTCCAACCCATACACCAAAAAACAAATCATTGTACAAACAAACTCTAGATAATAATCATAATGAAAAGAAACTAATCACATCCCTTTTTAAGGAGTAGTAAGATTAATGAGTATAGAATAATCATAGGCTTTCCACCAACTTATATCAAAATAAGAATACATTTGTACCTCTCTTATACAGCCGTATATTAGATATTAGTATAGTTTAGTATCATAGCAGCAAATTCTAACAGTTATGTACATGGGAACAATCTAACCCCTTATATTTAGACCCACTATAAGATGTAAATACTGCTGTAGCAGGATTTCCAAGTAGAGTTAAGATTAGCCTGGATGTCAGACCCATAAAACACATTACTTGTCCCTTCATCTTTATCCTTTTGGAAAGAGTCTGTGTAGTCTCTGGAAACAGTCTGGCATCCAGGCTAAGTTGAGAATGATCCAGGTATTACAAATTTGCAGTACAGAGGGGATAGGGGTAGTTCCCTTGTTCAGTATTTAATACCTCCTATTCAACAACTCCCGACTTTTCCACACATCTCTCCCTGCACTACTGCATGTTGTCAGCAGGGGGCTCTGCTCCCCCTCGTGAGGTGGGTGTTTTCGTGTACCGTAGTTTGGGCTGCTCGGGAGCCTCCATCTTGGTGGTGGCTGACTGCGCCTGGCGGCTGGGGGAGGTTTTGGGGGGCGAGGGAGTGAGGTGAGCAGGGGGGATCTTGACGGGGGGTGCGGTCTGCCCCTCGTGGGGGGAGTCTATCCTCAGCACTTCTGGGGGGTGGGACTGGCGACCGGCTTCAACTGGATCTAGGGGAGGACAAGAAACGCTCAATGAAATAGAACTTCAATGAAATCACAATAGGGGGTTACGTAAAGTCTTCTACATCCTGCACAGGTGGATACAATGATTTCAGCATAGTAATAACAAGGTACATGTGTATCAGTCCAATGCATTTTCAGGGTGACAAAACAAAAAGTATTCTGGATGAGGAAATCTGCCTGATATTGACATTACAGTACTGACATTTCTTAGCACATTTTTGTCATCATTTCATACTTAGAGCATTTGAAACAGCCCCAATAGACCAATTCTGGGTGTCTGTCAAAATCACCAAATCAACCAAATTTTTGGGAAAAGTGCAGCTCACCTTCCTCAGCGATGGGCCCTCCAGCTGATCTCCTGACATCAGTGGCAAATTTGCTCATGTCTCCTCCTGCTGACCAGGAGTACCTGGGGGAGAAGGACATCTTCATTTATTATGGCTTCACCACACCACGAAGTTCTAAATAGAACACTCGGGTTCTACCAGGGTTCTACATGAGCCAACAGCAGAAGGTGTTGGAAGATTTCATTGCTGCATGGGGGTATACGTATAGACTATTGGAACACTTCATATTTTGGACAGGGTTGATTTAGGAGCAGTCCATTTGTGCGGGAGGGGTATAGGTCCATTTTTGGTACAGGGGATGTGGTGAAGCCATCTGCTGCATTTGCTCCCTAGCAAATGTCGGCCTTTCTAGTTGGAATTTCATGTTCTTTTCATTCTATTTCAAAGTGTGGTCCACAGTCAACAAAAATGTTAGAAAATTACCTCTTATGAGTTTGAAAAATTGATGGCATACCTGTTGATGGCATTTTGCTACTCATGACAGACAAAAATAAAAGAGTGTCATTTTTTACCAAAAGAGATGTCATTAAACTAAGTTTTGTCTAACATTTAACCCCTCGAAATTCAGGAAATACTGGTACTTAGTGATGCAGTATTTTGGACCTGTATCTAATCAATTTTGCAGTATTGCAGTGGTACTGTACACCGGTATGTAGCCCTGATCTGCATGTCTGTTTCTGGTCCTACCCACCTGGTGTAGTTAGCGTCCCTGTCTGAGGTGTACGGACGTTTTTCCTCAGGGTAAAACTCAGGGTTGACGTGATGTTTGTAGTACTCCTCCTCACTCAGTATTGCTGACTTAATCATGTCCAGAACAAGGTCCTTTTCTGTTAAACATCAATAATCATGTGTCAATATACAAACATGAAAACTCTTGAGTTACTAACCTTTAGTCTAAATTGATTATACTTTTTTTATGAAATAAAACATTGTAGGCTAATTACATTGATCAACAATGCAGAAAACATTAGTGATTCCAAGAGCATTATATAGGAATTATGTCCTTAGTGATTCTTACATTTTCAAGACTATACTGCCCTTATATATTCAACTTGACATGTGCATTAATAGACAACATTACAGCACATTCACACATTGCTTCAGGGGCCTTTTCCACTGCTGTTTATTTGGCCAAGTTCTACTCTTTCTAGCCATTTCCTGAAGCCTGGTAGAGGCTAGCAAATGTTGAACGGCAATCAAGCCTCAGTATCAGTGTGCAAGCACATCTAACCCTGGGAAGACCAACAGACATTAAACCAGACAGTGAGTGTGTGATTGTCATTGCACTAACCTCTCCCTGTGGCATTGACCAGCCACTGCTGCACAGCCTGGATAGAGTCAGTCTGGAGAATCTGACACAACATCTCCAGAACCTGGGAAAAACACCCCACAAAAACACCCCACAAAAACATCAGTGTTACAGTTAGTGATACATACTTGAATGGCATATCACATTGTGTGTGTGTGTGTGTGTGTGTACGTGACAAGTCAACTTGTGTGTCGGCTGTGTACTTAATACCTAACTTGAACATGTAGTGTACCTCTAGGAACATAATACAACACCAGGGTACACTAATATTTTTACTGTATAGGTAATGTGCATCTCTTGGCACTGGAAAATAAGGTAACTATAAATAGTCTTGTTTTAGATTAGAATTATGTAAAACTTTATTTAAAAACAACAATTTATCACAAAAAACACAGTTGTCTACATAAATAGCCAAACTTGTTTAGATCTGGGTTTGTACTTAAACCCGAGTACCTGTACCAAAAATTTCTGTACTTGTGTGTGTATTATTGTGCAGACTTATAAATGACGGCACTTTTCAGAACTTACCAAGACCTCAGCATTAGGATCAGGAGAGATGTGCATGAAGTGGTTGTAGCGGCCGCCCTGGCGGGAACCCTGTCGTGACGCCTGGCGAGACATGGCGCGAGACGGCGGCGGGATGAGGCGTCCGGTCTCCTCCGAGTACTTGGTCTGCCGTTTGGGCAGGAGGTCGCGGTCCTTGAGTTCCTGCTCCGTGGGCGGGGCCAGGCCGGCTTTCTCCACGATGTCCTTCAGTTCATCTCTCCAGGAGTTATTCAGGGATGCTACAGGAACTACAGAGGGCAGAAAAAACAACACTGGGGTCACTTTTAGGTTTGAAAACTCAACTTCAGGGTGCCAATACTGGAAGCCTTGAATTTCAGTTTCTGACTGGATGTAGACTCCCATGTGGACTGAAAGAACACACTGCCCTGTATATAATATGGTATCTTATGTTTTAATGACTGTCTGTCATCTTCATCAGGGCTAGTATGTCTGGTTCACAGTCATAATAGCCCTGATTAAGATGACAGACAGTCATCAAACAATTGGTTGTGAAAAGAACTTTACTACATTTTGTGTTCAATCACTCACCAACCTGCTGAAATCATCTAAAGTAAATAGATGATATTTAATGCTAAAATATTTTTAGGGAGCTAATTTGGGAGCCCCTGCACCCAGGCTAATTTGGCGCAAACATGTTTCAGATATTTTTCATCTTAAAACCACTCCAACAACCCCAATGAGGTAAGGGGGGGGGGGGTTGATTCAATCTATCATTTCTCCAAGCTTTAGAGTAATTGTTCTTCATGTGCTCTTTAACTGAACATTGCAACTCATACTAGTTGAAAATCGTTCCAATCCCTCTAAAGCTCTAATTGTCAATCTCAAGCCAAATTTGGGGCAAAGGGGCCACAACAACAATATGAAACCACCTGTTCAATACAAGTGACACAGTAGACTGATTTCTTCTTTGAAAGAATTTACATTCTTTTTCCAAAAATGTAAACAGAATCAATTCATACAGTTGAAGCCAGTATACAGGTCACAACTTTTGTTAGTTTTCCACCAGAAATGCCAACAAAAGACCACGGCGATGGCTAGATCACATGGTCTTCCCTCTTTGAAAAGGTTTAAAGGGAAAGGCTAGCTATTTGTTTAGTTGCAGTGGTCTATGTAACATTCAGGTATATGTTTTGAATCCCATCCAAGCGATCATGTAACCTTATGATATGTTACTGTTTCCCTGCATTGTTGGCTAGCTAACCGGTCTGGTTGTTTCAAGCTGCTCCTAACAATGTTGTGTTGATATCAGGGTATCATGTGACCTGGACTATGGCACCTGATATGTTTATAATAGCTCAGGCAAGGCAGGCCGGGTGTTTGTACTATTTATGGCGGTGATGGGATACTTTTACAATTGTTTTGTGTGGCCAGTGGAGCAACACTGAAGCTACGGAACATTTAGTCCTTTCACAAGGGAGAGGAAAGGAGATTTCACCCTGGTTTTAACCTTAAACTTGGTCTCTTAACCGCAAAATGGTGTTATCTTTCAGTTACAGATATCTGTGTAACAAGTTTATGATAGCCCATGTCCAACGTTTTCACCTCGTGAGGTTTACAACTAATAAGTTGTTTTATTGGTATTTGCTTTAAATTTTGTAGGAGTGGGTTACAACAAATTTATGGTCCAATTCTTCACTTTTAATTGGAGGTTGGTGACATGATACAGTGACTGATAGTCTTACATACAATAGTCAGTGCAGGCTTTGGATCAGAAGAAAAGATTTTGTAAAGTAGTAACAAGCTGCTAGGTAGAACAAACTCATATCACTTCTTTCTAAGCACAAGAGCTATGTATCACCCAAATTTAGTGACCCCAGCATGTCTAGATCATGACATATCAAACCAGAATTTCTGCTGCAGTACTATAGCAAGCAGCCAGGGGACCCAGAATCTAATTATTTCAACATACACACACACACACACACACACACACACACACACACACACACACATATGCACACACACACACACACACACAAGCAGTGTTTTTAAATAGCACTGAGGTTTCTACCCTGTTTAAATAAAACAGAAATAATTTAACTGAACACACATAGTCACACACACAAACACTGCCAAAAACGTAACCTTCTGCCGAAGGTAACTGACCCAGCCCAATCCTGGGGATGGCCTTCTCCTTGAACGGGAAGTTCTGCAGGCCGGTGACGGTGTTGATGGGGAACTTGGTGCTGTTGATGCCGATGGCGTTGACCGGCATGTGATGTTTGAAGATGCGCTCTCTCTGCGCGGTGCCGGGCGTGCTGAGGTTCCAGCGGGGGCTAGACACGAACCCGGTGTCGTGCACGGCACAGATCGGGATGTCGTTCAGACCTGAACGGTAGAGAAAGGTGAATGCCAAATTATTATGGCTTTTGTCAATAATCAGGGCTCGAAATACTGTCACTCTTCAGAGAAGCCACATGACAAGTCTCACTGGGTCAGTCTATTGAAGAGGACCAGAGGGACTGGTCGAGGACCAGAGGGACTGGTCAAAAGTTTTAACTTTAAAGGTGGATTTGTACAGTTGTAAATCCTTTGTAACTAAAAGAAAGCAGACGTACCCTTAATGTGCCTGACCCTGACGGGATGCGGGTTGTGCCTGGAGAAGAACGAGCTTCTGCTGAGTTCTCCGAACCGTGATCCGGGGGAGGTTGCGGGGCGCGAGGCGGGCCAGCTGTGCGCGGGGCTCGGGGTGGGCCGCTTGTACTGGTGCCTGTCGTGCGTCGTGGACTTCAGGTGTTTGACGGGAGCGTCGAACGGTCCTCCGATCGTCCCCCGGACCAGGAGCGGCTGGTTACCGGTCGGCGTGAACACTGGCATGCTGGGGGAGACAAGAAAACGGGAAAAACACATATCATTACTGTTTTATAGACCTGCTGGACCCGGGGGTTTCGGCGTCTCAGGACGCATACTAGAAGTAGTAATGGTGTTCTCGCGCGTTCACTGGCTGTTAACCTAAAACAAGACTTGATTTAATGGAGAAACAGGATGACGAAGATGGTAGTGTTTTGTTCGTTAATGTAACAATTGACTGTTTATGGACGAGGCCTACGGTACTTCGATCTATCGATATCACTACTAGTATTTTACAGTCGGACGTCGACGACAATTTTGCCGGGAACCGTTAAGTCGCGCGTTCGTCGAACTTCTGACTGGAGTAGGGAAAAGAGATATGTTGATTTGTTACGTATCAAAAACACTGCTGCCTTCATTTATGTATAATGACTATATTCTTATGGACGTTTCCAGTGCCCACTCTCTCACCCGAGAACGGTATATAAGAGCTGATTTGTTGAGTTGTTTTGAAAATGAGTTTCCTAATGTACTTAAAGCTTCCGAGAGAGGCTCAACAGTTGTTCAAGTAGTCGCATATGAACTGTTATCACGCGTTTCAATCGCTAACCCAAATGTTATTATCGCAACAATGAGAACAAGCGTCAATACAAGAGTCGCATTTGATACCACGTAAAGTCTTTTCACTTCACTGTTTCGGACTCAAGAGGCACTCGTTATGGAGTATGGGTTTGCAACAAGAGAACACGCTTAGCTTGCTAATACATGTAACGGAAAGTGGTCTTACGTTTTATCCTGTCTTTGTGGCATAGAAGCTGTGAAATATAACTCTCAGTCACGAGAACCACTGTACCGGTGCGGTTATAACGTTCCTCTGGGGTCTGCCTTTGGCTAGCTAAGTCGACGTCCTCGATCTCTCGCTCTAACGTCGCAAATGTTTGTCTCTATGGTGACGCCACAGTTGTCGGACTACCAGCCTGGGTGTCCCGACTTGATGTGTGTGCCAGAAAAACACCGGGCTATTCATTAAGGGCCGTTTTCCTTTCTTAAGGGCACCCGTATTGACGTCTGGATTAAATGCGGCGCATACCACGAGTGGGGCCGACAAACAGGTGTGGTGTAATATTTTGGCACCTCCGCTTCCTGAATGATACTTATATTAACAATAGATTAGGATTGAGTCAAATTATGTTGCAAAGAAATGGCCAGAAAATTGACTTTTTGTATGTATCGTCCTAATATCACATATTGCAGCTTTAAATTGAACTAACGCTTTGGACGCGAGTGATTTCAGGGGATATTGGGCGCTAAATGGACAATGTGATGTTTTCAGGACTGACCATCCAAATCGGGGACAGTCAGACAAAAACGGTGTCCGTCTAGATAAAACGTTTAACGTCCATGAAGGAAGGTAAGATTTATTTTGGCTGGTTTTTCGTTGTCCGGACCCGCCCTCTATAAATATCGAGTTACCAAGGGACGCATGTCATGTGTGCGCAACGTTTGTATAGCAAACTGTCTTATCCTTCTATTGGTCATAATTAGTCCTGCATAGAGGGCAACGTCGGGAGTGTTTAGCCAGTGAACAGTCCGCGTTGACTTAATACAAACGTCATTGCATCTCTTAAAGGGGCATTAGACTCTATGTAACACCTTGCAATAAAAATTAGGTTATTATTTTAGATCTTCATTTGATTGTAATTTGCTTCTATTTTTCTACATTATATAGTACTATTACTTTTATTTCTGACATTTAGTGTTGGCAATTAAACAGCCAACATGAGGCGCACACATTTTGTGGTACCACCACTAAATACCATAATGTAAACAAACAAGACTGACATGTGTGTTTCCAGGTTTTAAACACGCTCGTATGGTGTAATATTTTGGCACCTCCGCTTCCTGAATGATACTTATATTAACAATAGATTAGGATTGAGTCAAATTATGTTGCAAAGAAATGGCCAGAAAATTGACTTTTTGTATGTATCGTCCTAATATCACATATTGCAGCTTTAAATTGAACTAACGCTTTGGACGATAAACGTTTTATCTAGACGGACACCGTTTTTGTCTGACTGTCCCCGATTTGGATGGTCAGTCCTGAAAACATCACATTGTCCATTTAGCGCCCAATATCCCCTGAAATCACTCGCCATTCCTGTATACTAAAGGCCCATTGTTGGTTTTGCCCCTGTCCTGTTGTGTACGGATGTGTGCCGTACGTGTAGCTGTGTTTGGTAGATATATTTACTTTGACGTCCCCGCTGCTGTGCAAGCTGCTGTAGTGAGTCATCTGGAATTTCGTCCTCAAATTTAACTACAGGGTTCTTTGAAAGGGCAGGCAGACAAATGTCACTGGGGATAGATAGTACAATTAGTTTGCAGAGTTTCGTAGAATGGGAAAAGAAAGTTAGACTAATTATTACACACAACTGGATATGATTTTGGAAACGGTCAGACGCTTATGGTAGCAGCCACTATAGCTACCTTTCGTCACTGGGGAGATTTCAAATTCAGCAGGTTTATAAACACGAACTATTGATTGATAGGTACATGAAGTAAAGACAAATTAAAAGTTAGGCTAATTACTTTTCTTATAGAAGTCTAACATTTTCAAACCAATAACTTATGCCAGAGCACGCAAAGGCACAATAACAAATAGAAGAAAAAAATTGTGAACAGAGAACTAGTACTGTGCGTTCCAAGAAGTGGTTTAGACATAAAGGACTGATGAGTTTAATAGCTGATTATCATCGTATCAGGACGAAGTGGGGAATGTCAAACATGTTCAGTGCTGTTAGGGAACACACAAACTGCAACGTCACAAAAATGTTACGTCACGCCACGTCACGACTTTTTGTGTGTGTACCTCTTCGGATTCTGGTCCTTGGAGACCGGTCTCATCTCCACTTTCCCTGTCATCTTTCACTTTCCCTTTTCACACCTGTTGAAGAAAACTGCACTGGTGAGCAAATTAATAGGTGGCTTCATGGGCTTTCCGGTAACAACTCACTGTACGACACATGCACGACAAACGCACGACTATTCCAAGACTAAACCCAGTTGGCAATCGTGGGACGATCGCCCTTAGTGAACACACAACTGATTGTACCTCTATGAAGGTTAGACAACCTGGTAAATAATATTAAAAGACAAATCAAACTACTTCTGGATAAATTACCAGCTTATTTCCAGACATTTCGAGTGGCATTCAACATTCTTCTTCAGCGTCACTAAATGAACTGACAGAACTAGTTAGCACTTGACTCATCACATGTAAAGAAACTGGAAAACATGAAATGGTTGGACATGACAAAGACCCCTAAGTGTCACTGTTATGTCAAGGAACAGTAGCAGTTACTTAACAATGACACTTAGGAGTCTTTGTTCTGTTTAACCAGTTCTTCCAGTTTCTTTACAAGTCATAACTATCATGAAGTGTTGACTAGTTAGTGTCAGTTCATTTGGTGAAGAAGAGGTTTGGATGTCACTCGAAACGTCCGGAAATAATGCCGTAATTTTAATTCAGTCGTACGGTTTGATTTGACTTTGAATATCTGATGATACCGTTCCTGTCGTTAGAGTTGTCTTCTATAAAACTGACTGTTTATAGCAACGTTGTAACGACGGCTCAAAATGAAGAGGTGTGGTGCCGCATCGCCATGGGCCACGCGGAGCTGACTAAATATTTGCGTACCGATTCGGACCACCTCTCCCATCACAGGCCAGTGCCAATCTGTGGTCTACCGGGACCTCCCGGACATTAAAGAGTTTGTCCAGCACCATTGGATTCTTTTTAAGTAATAGTTGACTGGGATATGGAATGGGTAAAGGCTTTGGTCCATTTAATGTGATAACAAGAAGTGAAAAAGCAAGAATACAGTGTCAGTCGTGGAAGACTTACAAAGATAACGATAATTGTTGGCCTTGGAGACACTTAATTGTCTTCTTTTCCGGATGCTTAGAATGTTTGGACCGGAAATGAGTTGAAAGAAAGCAGATAACTTTCCCATGTTTCAAGTTGTCGGCATTAAATATTGATGCTGAAAGTTGACATCTAAATAGTCTGAAAAAGGGAACATGTATTCGAAAAAAAGGCATAGAATTGAATTGAATTGAAAATAGCACATGTACTTTTCAACGCAAGATACTAGTACATGATATGATTTTTAAGCATTCGACCGTACATACTCGAATGCAATAGTCCTAATCATAATCATTCATAAAGGCACAATAGAATACTATTTATACATTGTTGTTGTCTTTATTACATATTGATGGGCTGAATGCACGTGTGACCATATGTGATCACAGGCGCTAGGCCACCGAGTTTTTGTTGAGATCTAACAATACATGTAACGTTACATTGTTTTGTAAACCATTAAATAAAATCCTTATTATTGTTTCGCGCATGTTAGAACATACACTGTGTCTACTCATTCAGCCCGTTGCCATCACAATACAGTGGCCCGTTAAAATATTCCCAAAAATCATACAGTCACATAACACATAACACCGTGAACACGGCCCGTTGAAAGGTTCCCTAGAATCATACGTACACTGAACACGGTCACAAACTGATGAGGATTCCAAAGAACCATACGAACAGATACCGAAGTCTCCCGAAGATTGCCGAGAGCCGAACAGCGACTTCCGAACGCTTCATCTTGGTTAGGTACTTAGTACTAGTATACACTAGGTGCGAAATGCCATTTCAAAAGACCCTATTTTCTGCGAAATGCCATAAGAAAAATAAAAGTCTTGATACTATCTATAATCAAGGGGTAACTAAGTAGCCATGTAAACTTTTTGGGGGTATGATACCATATTTTAAAGAAGATATGAAGCATTTTGTAAAGTCCAATTTCCGGCGAACTGCGTTACCAGGTCGCTGCTGTACAGGTCAATGACATCATCGCTAGCCAATCAGACGCACGATAGGCCCACATTTCCCGCGCGGTTCTAAAATGTAAACGCACACAACTGGCTACATCACCCGACAAGAGTCTTGACATGCTATGTGTA